TGTATTTATTCTAAATTCTCATATTTAAAATAATGTGTTTACTTTACTTTAACAAATTCTCAAATTTTCATTATAACTCGATGTATGTTAAAGTCGTCGATGTTTTCATTGGTAGAAAATGAGCTCATATTAGCAAAAAATGGCTTACGTTAGGAGTGTTCAAGTCAATGGTTTTGACCTCTTATGATCGATTCGAAGTCCAAAACTAGTTCGAGACACCATAAACTCTCCACAATCTTCTCTACAAAAATGATATCTTCACTTGCCAATCTCACTCGCCGTTTCAATCATCTTCAATAATCAATAACAATATTAGTTTAAGAGTAAAATCTGAAATAAAACAATATGAAATAGATTTCGGTAGACCAAAAATATCTGGATAAGTCTTTAACTAAGGTAGTTGTTTTGAGCTAGACGCAGCAGACTGATGTACACAAGTCGTTGGGAAAAAAAAAAGGAGTTAAAGTCATATCATTGTCTTTTCATTAGGGCAATATGAAGAAAACTGCGTTCAATACTCAGCGGTAAAGTTGTAAAGTTAACTCAACCACAGGATTCATGCAATACCTTACTGGGAGGTTTTCAATTGAATACGCCTAAAGTTAGTAGAACAAAAAAGAAACATAGATTTTAGAATAAAACACTTAAATCTCTTAATAAACGATATTTTTTGAAATGGTAATTCAGACACACAAAACCTTAATAAAATTAATAATTACCCTTGTTTTTTCTTCTCATACAATATAAGAATCTATATCTGATAATTGTCACATATGATACTTTTCATAAACATCATTCATTACAGAAGTGGTAAGTGTTTTATTTTAAAACCTGTGGGTCTATTTTTCGGTGCTAAACCTCAAGGGTGTCTAGTTATATCCTTTGTTGTTCATATGTTGAATTATCTTAATCCTCACTATTTATAAATAACAATATTTAATAATGTCACATCAAACTTATATTAGGGAGTAAACAAACTTTTTCCCACCTAGGGTTTTCCTTAATGACATTTCACTTAAAAGTTTTAAAATACCACTTCACCTAAAGTTAATATTCTGGTACTATCCAAAGCCGATTTCAGAACAAAAATTATCTCCATCACCACACTTGAACCTTCGGTCTCCTTACTAAACATCTCTCCCGCGGCACTTGATTTCTTGCTAATTTTGGTCACTGCAAAGCTAGGTGTTCTTGTTCTTAGGTGATTTCCACGACGAATATTCAATCGGTCATCATCATTCGATCCACCAGCCTCTATTCTACAAACTCTCCTTACTTGGCTCCTGATGACTTGTTGAACGCTGACTAAGAAAGTGAAGTGTATTTTGGGTATTAGCAGAATATAAACTTTGGGTGGGAAAGTGCTATTTTGAAACTTTTTGGGTGGAAAAGTGTCATTAAGGCAAACCTGGGTGGGAAAAAGTTTACTCAATATTAATTAAATAATAATTCTCATTAGAAATTTCCCCATTTTTTCTTCAAAGATAGTAGTCAACTGAAAAATTGGATAATGAATCTCGTGTATAGCTCAAAATACCCATAAAGTTAACTATGATTTATACTTTTGTGGGCATTTTGCAATTTTAAAACTACAGGGAGGTTTATATTTTGGGGTAAAGGCAAGGGGGTTTATAATTTGTCCTCACAATAAAAATAATAAATAAAAAAATAAATAAAAGTCAACTGGTTAACATTATCGCCGGGCAAATGAGGGAGAAAACAAAGAAGTAAAAAAAAAAAAAAATCAGAAATTTTAATTATAACTCATTGAATTATAGTGTCATGTTCATATTTATATGGTACGGTTTAGAAGATACACTCACATGTATTCCAACTAATTATAAGAGTACAAATGTACAATATTAATGTTGAAAAAATAAATTCTATAATTTTGTTTATTGAAACAAAATAATTTTATAAATCTAATTAAAGGACTACAAAAGGACCGAAAATTAGAAATAGGAAAAATTGAAGCAAAACCAATTAATAATTTAATAAATCTAATTTTTCTCTTTTCTTTCTTTTTCAACACCTAAATATAGATTATAAATCGAATCAACATTAATTAAATTTTTTAAAGTACCGCAAATATAGAATTTTCGGGCTATTGTTCGTCATCGAATTTGTCAAGCAGTGATTAGCGAAGAAGAAGGAAGAAGAATAGGAAAGGAAACCCCTGGAAATTAATTAGGTGGAAAGGAAAAAAAAAAAAAAAAAAACCTCAACCATTTAATTACCTTTCTTAATTAGTTACTATTAACGTAATAATAATGAATTAACAGAGGATTACGTGAGAAACAGAAATAGGTAATTAAATTTCATACGCTAAACATGAAAAGAAGGTTACATTTTGTTCATATATGATATATACATATATATTATAATACAGAGTAAACGAACATTTTCCCACCCAAGGTTTGGCGAATCTAGTGTGCCCACCCCTGGTTTCATAAATTGCATTTCCCACCCTTAAAGTAACACCACTATTTTTCTCTAAAAAATAATCTCCATATCTCAAATTTCTCTCAAATAACCACCAGAGAAGATCTCTGCTAAGCCAAAAGTCTGTGATTCCAACACCATTGGACCTCACTGACACCACCGTTAGCATCCCCTTATCCTCCTCACCAAAACCCCTAACTTTTCCATCCAATTGCACCTTGACGAGGTGCTAGAATTTGGTTGGAAAGACGTGACAAAACACGAAAACCTAAGGGAGAGGCAACGGTAATCGACGGTCAATTGCGATCAGCGATGTTGGGGGTTTTAGTGGGGGGAGGCTAGTGATGCTATTGGTGGTGTTGGGGGTGGTTTTCGGTGTCGGAATCTACCATAATTTGAATGAAACGTCGACTGAAACTAAGAGCGGTTGCCAACGATTGGGAGGTTCAATCAAGCGGGGAGGTTAGGGGTTTTGATGTGGGGGTTGAGGGAATTGTAATGGTGGTGTTTGGAGGCGTCAAAGACGCCAGAAATTTTCTGATGGGATAAATTTGAAATGTGAAGGGTTATTTTAAAATTTTTATCTTTAAAATGATAATTTTATCATTTTAATAGTTAAATTAAACAATTATTTATTAATTTAAATATGAGAATCTATAATTTATGAAACCAGATAGAAACTTGTAAATCTGCCAAACCTTGGGTGGGAAATTGTCGTTTACTTTATAATATATTATGAAGGGAATTCTGTCCATGTGCTAGCTACCAGATCGCAAGATAAAAGATATAAAGATTAAAGATTTGTTAATTAAAAAATAGATTTAATATGTATTGGTTCTGAATTATATTGCCAGCTGAATATGTTGTGTGATCGTGGACGGCCATGATTTAGATATGAGATATGTTTGAACTTATCGATTGGATTTGATTTCATCAGGAAACCATCCAATCAATGTGATTAAATGAAAGGGAACAGAAATACAAGGGCACGCATATTAATGAAGATCGTCAACTTATACCCGTAAAAGTTTTCTTTAAATTATGCACATTTAATTTGAGGGGCATGAGCATGACCCATTTTTTCTTTCAAATTCCCTTCTATATGAGGCATATAATATAATTAACCTAATCATATAGAATTATGGAAAATAATGGAAACTTCTACATAAAATTAGGTTGAATCATTTTTTGTTTCTTTGATGACCACAGATGTTCGGACCATCTTATGCACACCTCAACTAAATTTCCGAGATTCTAAAACTATCGGTCGAGTAAGAACTTCAGTGGTTACCTCTATTAGCATTTGATGAGAGACTCAAACGCAAGACCTCTTCAGTAATACATTCAAAAGTCTCTATCGAACCGTTCGACCACATAGAGATAGTTAAGTTGATTTATTCGTTTTCTTTCTATTCCTATAAAAGGTAGAAAAAATTAATGATGCAAAATTTCTACTTTGAATTTGAACCATTTCTTTTTAATCTATTTTCAACCTCCTCACTTTAATCACATGAATTCTTTACTTTGTAAATCCAGCTATCTCTTTCCCAAAAAGATAAACCCTAATTTATTGAGCATAATAAATATGATAATTTATCAAAATGGTTTTATTGGCTTGATATGGTAAGCAGCAGATTATGACTAATCAAAACGATCTAAACTTTACCTAAAACGCATTTGAAATATAGCAATTTCTAACCAAATCTATGAAAAAGTAACCAGAAAACCAACAAAAAAAGATAATTCAGGAGACATCTCTAGCATGGCGGAATCTAGATCGAGATGACTTGTACAAGTAGACAAGCAAACCCACCTGGCTTTCCGAATTTTTGAAGTTATTACAGGTTTTAAGAAATTAAGTAATTAATGATTAAATATAATCACGAATTTACTCCACCTAACTTTTAATTTTTCTTAAAACCTGGACCTAAATAAAACACGTAACCCTATACAAACATTAATCCCATCAATTATTTCTCTATCGCAAAATGTTCTCTAGCTCGATCTATACAAGCATGTGATAATAGCATCAGCAAGTTAAACGCATTTAATATTGTTTGGGAATTTTTCCTTTGATTTATTAGGTTTAGATAGAGCAGATAATATATGAAATACTGGCTGAGAGACTATTGGATGAACGATAGAAAAATTTATATACATAGAGAGAGAGAGAGAGAGAGAGAGAAATTATGGTTTGAAAGGTTTTAATTTCGACATTGATGGAATTGGGGTCAGGACTATGGAAACAACTAGAATTTCAGGTCCAGTGGGCGCTATCCCATCCAATGAAAGGTAGAATGAATAAGAAATAACGAGTGGTTCTCAATGGAGCAAGTAAATTAATTGGGAGATGAGAGAGAAAAAGGAAAGCATTAAATTGATAGGGAAAAAAAAAAAAGTTTGCGTCACGTAAAGCATTAAATTGATAGAGAAAAAAAAGTTTGTGTCACGTGTATATATATAGTACATGAAAAAGTTTATTATTTATATATTTTTAGGCGTATATAGTACGTGATATATGTCATTAAATTCCTCCACAAAAACAGTATATACAGTTACTGTACTCCCCTCGTTTATTCAATGTATATAAAGGGTGACGGACAAACCATATTTGTTTAATTTCAAGTGAAGAAGCAAAATAATATTATTGTATAAGAGTTTGAAGTGGAGAAGATAATCCAGAGATGGGAAAAGAATGCCACCCTTTGTTGAGTGGGAGGAGAAAAGCAAGAAGCAACTACAGCCATGGCTTCTCTTCAGCAGAGATGCAAACACTGGCCACCATTTGCGACACCATTTTACCTTCAATTCCCTTGGAGGAAAAACAAGACCATCCTGCAGGCAATAAGGCTTTGGAATATTTTTACAAAGCTTCTGGTTCTCAAGCTCCCATCCCTGACGAGGTAATTCACTGTTTCACCAACTCTTATTAATGCTTGAAAACTTGAGAAGAACACTAATTATTAATTAATTGATGCAGGTTGCTGAAATTTTAGTGAAAAGAGGCCTAATAGAAGCGGGGATCTTGATTAGAGTAATATTGATGATCCTTTCCACAAAGTTGGGCACGTTTTTGCTTTGTGGGTCGCTTTGTTTGAGCAAAAAATGGCCTTTCATCAACAGATTTTCGTGTATGTCATTCGAGAATCGGGAGAAGGTTCTACAAAAATGGTTCAAACATTGGTTTCTGACGCCCGTTCGAGTTGCATTTATGTACATAAAGGCTCTATGCCTCTTCGTTTTCTTATCCCGGGTAATTCTACTCTTCATTATCACTAGCTGAATTTTATTGATTTTATTATATATATTTAAAGCTTTCTTGATTGCTCAATACATTTCAATCAGATGCATTTTCATTAAATATTTGCATAATTCTGATGCAAAACCTAACGCTATTATAAGCGGTCAGAATTAATTTATAATTAAATAAACATTTCAGTTAAGTTTTTCGTTTTTCGTTTTTCTTGGGACACCCAAACAGGTCCTTATTTGTTTTCTTTCATTAATTCTCGGCAAGACATACGGCAGGGTAACAGAAACATATAGTAAAAAATTAATTCAGATAGTTTTGTTCCGACGACAATACATTTTATTTTATAATATAGGCTTAATGATTTTCACCCCAATCTATCTATAAATAAATGCAATTTATTGTGTGCTGTGTTCTAGCAACAGGCAACAGCATTACAGATTTATAGTGGCTACAATGTTTTATTTCTCTTAAAATAAAAGGGGAAACGCACTGTTTATGTGACTTTGAGCTTTAGCACAGCCAATTAATGGCCCAACCTCCACATCAAAATGTAGCATTTACAGATTGCTAGAATATGTCGGCCCAAGAAATTCTTGGGCATATGAGAATAGAACACACAACTTCACGAGCAAATGATCCTTTTATTTCAACTCAGGCCCGTTTACTAATGTTGGGCATAGAGGTGTTAACGAGCCGAGTCGAGTCGAGTTTTCAGCTTAACGAGCTCAGCTCGAGAAAGAGGAATAATGATCGAGCCGATTGCGAGCCGAGCCGAGCCACATCTTATATAGCTCGGCTCCTAAATGGCATATTTCAAGCCGACTCGCGAGCAGGCTTATCGAGCCGAGTTCAAGCCGGCTCGTGAGCCAACTCCAAAAAAATCAATTTTTTTTTTTTAATTCAAATTTTTGTTTTAAAATTTGCTAGGCCACAGCACGCAGGTCTGATTGTCTGAATGTCTGATGCTTTTTGTTAAATTTTCATGATTCATTTTCATTTTTCGCTAACCTCAAACAACTTCTAAATTCTACAGATTATAATTTTTGTCTTCTCCTGTCCTCATACATCATCCAACAATTAAACATACTTAAAATAAACATTAAATGAAATGCTACTGCTATTAACAATTTATCATTCAACATACTGTATGTACCACAAATTAAGTTAAGTGAACTCAAGGTTTTTTGTTTAGTTCACTTGACTTAATTAAGTTTTCATCAAAACAAAATAGGGGGTTAGCATAACTATACATCAAGTGACATCCCCATCCATCAAAAAATATATATAACAGCAAAAGATAATTGGTTGTATGTCCATTGTAGCCCCACTCCTTCTACAAACAAATTAATGTGAAACACATTAAATACAATTGCCATTTTATATAAACTGTAAAGATGAAAATGCAAACATGAACATAAAACTAATAAATATAGACCTACAGAATCCTACTGCCATAGCCAATAACTCACGGGGGAATCAACTAATCTGCTGACTCCCATCACCTGACAGAACAGGAAGTTGAATCTCCAAGTGATCCTCGTCTTTCTAAAATGAAAAAGGGATAAAAATAATCTGTAGGTTAGAATAAAGTAATTTTAATTATTGAATTAAACAAAACACGTAAGCAATGGAACTTACTTTGCACCCTTTCTTCACTCCATTCAAAGTGCGACACCAGTCACATCCACATAACAACATCTCCACCGTAAGGCATTGAATAAGTCATGATCCCCCACACACTTATAGCATCCCTCTCCCAAATAACAGTCCAACTCAGACTTACTAGGCTCAACAGTTTCAACTACGTCCAGAAAAGTGCTAAAATCATCCCAGGCCTCAGCTCCCTCAACTGCAACCACCTCACCAATGGCTCCATGTCCATCCCCTTGTGATGTAGAAGCACGGGCGATAGTCACACCTTGATTAGCTTGAACATACTCCCCATATAACTCATACAATGCATCCCGGACCGTCATCATATTTGCCCATCCTTCTGCCTTAGAATACATCTTAGGGAATGCCCACTGAATAACCCTCATTTTCAATCTAGGATCCAATACAACAGCCACATATATCAACACATCACATTCCCCCCAATATTTATCAAACTTCTGTTTCATTTTCCTAACCATTACTCTAATAAAATCATCTTTAGATTCACTTTTACTATCCAACATACATTTCACTATACACACCTCCTTCAAGAATAAATTAGACGTCAGATAATCACTTCCTGAAATGAGTTTGGTTGAACCACTGAATACTTTTAAAATTTCACAGACTTTCTCCACTTTCTCCTAATCCTCGTCACTCAAATTATTGTGATGATTGATATCCATCACTTTCAATCTTGGAAAAACCTTTTTGAACTTAATTGTCGTTGCCAACATTTCATAGGTAGAATTCCACCTTGTTTTACAATGGAGAATAAGTTTCCGATACGGCAATTTAAGTTGTTGAACAATCTCAAGAAAATACCTTCAGCCTACTTTCTGAACTGTTGATATACAACACACTCTCATAGATGTCGTCAATGATGTACCTAATTTGATGAAGTCCATCTTGAATAATCAGGTTCAAGATGTGTGCACAACATCTCACATGAAACAGTTTACCTCCACAAAGGAGTTTCCCTGAAACTTCAAATTTTCCTTCAAAACCTTAATCGCAACATCATTACTTAAAGCATTATCCACAGAAATAGCATATACCTTATTTTCAATTCCCCATCCCATTAGGCACTTGAAAATGCCGTTCGCAATCACAATACCAGTCCGGGAAGGAGGTAGATGAACAAAGTTGAGGATACGTCTATTCAGCCCCCAAATACTATATATCCAATGCTCGATCAACACCATATACTCCATCTTTTGATTCCTTGAATTCCATAAGTCTGTAGTCAAACTGATTTTTGTCACACTCTTCAACAAAGTCTTCAATTTGGCCTTCTCACTTTCATATACCTTTATACAATCTTTTTTACAAGTATGGCAGAAAACTGGAGTCCATCCAAGAATCCCATACTTCATCATATTGTTCAAGCCCTCTTCCTCCACAACTGTAAATGGATGCTCATGCATGCACCCAATGGGCGATCAATTCCCTCATTTTCGACATGTCAAACTTCCCACTTAAATTTGGCAAAATAGTAGTTGCAACATCATTACCGGCACTCAGAAAACTAATATGTTGTTGCCTCATGGAAGCTTTTCTCCTTAAACATCGGCTTAAATGTCTATTAAACTGGGTGGTGCTTCCGGTGTCATTAATACACAACTTGACTTTGTAATGGATACACTCTGCATTTTTGGTACTATTAGGGAGTACCACCTCCTTGAACTTCGTCCATACCACTGATGTCTTCGCTCTTTTTTGCTTCTGAAGTGGATTGTCATTTTCATCACCATTATTCGGGCTACTAATACTTTGCTCCGTATTTATTGTGGTTGCATTCAAGTTAAGGTTACCACCAGGTGTATTGGTAATTGTATCTTGTATTGTAGGGGTACTTGAGGAATTACACTCCATTTACAAATATATAAATGGAAAAAAAAAATCAGCAATTTAATGCAAAACCAATATGAAATAATGTCAAACTATTACATTGTACACACATCAAACTAATACATTATACATTGCATACTACTATTAATTGTCACCAATACATCCCAACATTCATTTATTCTTTAATTAGAGATGTTGGTTGAAGAATTAAATGCTCTATTTATTCATTCAAACCCATTTATTCTTTAAATGACTTTGTAGAATTATATGTCTTATGCCTATTTATTCTACTACATAAATCATAATGTCTTTAATACAATTTAGAATTATATTTTTTTATGCCTATTTATTCTACCAAATTAAAGATTCCTTCAAAACGCACAAAGCCCCTAGTCCCCACCACCAAACGCAATTTAGTTTTCACTGCCCTTTACCCATTTGCAATTTAATATATAACAAAACCCCTTTACCCTTTTGCAATTTACTCTTCACTGCCCTTTACCATTCAGCAATTTTAATTCCTCAACTCTGTTTAGTCTAAGGATTCCAAACATGATTACTAGACCCACCTTTGAAAAGATTCTTTAGAGATTTATAAACCTAAGTTAGTTGGAAAGAGATTTATAAACCATCACATTTATAAATCTCTTTCCAACTTTTTAGTCCAAGATTGGTCCCCCTAATATGCCAAATAATTTTATATTTTATTGTTATAGTTTTCAAACTATCCTTTCGGACACTTTCCAAGAGCACCATAAAACTTTCTTTTTCATTCTAAACATTATCACCCATGATATTACACTGCCATTTACCCTTTTTCCATTTTACATTACAATGCCTTTTACCCTTTTTCCATTTTACATTACACTGCCCTTTACCCTGTTGCCATTTTACATTACACTGTCCTTTACCCTTTTGCAATTTAAGCATCACCGCCCTTTACCCTTTCACAATTTAATATATAACAAAGCCCCCAGTCCCCACCACCAAATGTAGAACCACAACCACAAACAAATTTATAAATTGCCCTTCTACTGTTTACTGTAAAACAAATTCCCACAAGTAGAATTCCATAACCACAACCACAACCACAACCACGGTCCACAAACAAATTAACAAACTCCTTTGCAATTTTAATTTTGTCCCACAAGTCCACAACCACAAACAATAATAAACAGTAAAGCAATTTAAACAAACAATGAAATAGACCCAATACACAGCAGACTGCTCTTCACAGACAGTTTACAAACATTAACCTTGTATGGGTTTCACAGCAACACCACCACGGTCAATGACCACAATGCGGCAGACTACTCTTCCCTGAATTCTTTCACTGGAAAAAGCCCCCTGTTACAGACAAAGAATTCACGAAAAAATAACTTCAAATTTCATTGACATCGTTCACGAAAATCAATCACAGATGGGTTTCACAAGCTACCAAACTGAAGAACAAAGCCAAAACAAACAACCTTACCCCGAGAAATCGACGATCGACGGTGTCGCAGATCCGTTTCACTGCGAACAAA